ATGTTGACTTGGTTTCATACTCGTGTTAGGGGCTGTACATCATGAACAGTTTAGGCGGCAAAGGCTGTACAAAAGGTTAGCTATCAAGGATGAGTAATAATGGCTGAGGAAGAATATATAACATGGACAATTTATTTTTTTAGTAATATAAGGAAATACAATCAAAATGGACATAAAACAGGTCGAACTAATTGAACAACCACATGCAAATGCTGAAAAGGTAAAAGAAAAAGCAAACAGTAGGTGCCAAGTAGCAGCAAGAAAGAGGGAGCATACGCTACATCTGTATTTCTTGGGCATAAAAATCATCATACATAGGGTTAAGATATGGAAGCATAACAATGAAGAACATCCAGGTGCTAACATAAGAATCACCGCTATAAGCACTCAGCAAACTTTTTTGGTGTGGGTAGAAGTTTAGAACCGTAGAAGGGAGATAGGAGTGATGTAGGTTCCCTTTTTGGAGGAGTTTTAGCTCTAGTTTTCTGGGCGAAGTCCTGCTAGTGCTAAACGCTAACTCATGTAACGACTCTACGAAAGTAGTGAGAAAAACTGTTATTTATTAAATTAAAATTAAAAGGATATAAAGACACCTAAACGTGGCTTCTCTGATTTCTCTAACTTCTCAAGTGATTAAAGAACCCTAATCAAACTACTCCCTCCGTTTCAAATTAAAAGTCGCTTTAACTTTTTTGGTACATCTATTTTGCTATGCATCTACATAAATAATGTCTAGATACATAGCAAAATAGATGAACCAAAGAAGTCAAAGTGACTTATTATTTAGAACAGATGTAGTAGTATATTGTCCATGCTAACACTGCGACATCTAGAAAAACAAATAAAAAACCAAATGGGGATATGTTTGGTTAATTTTAAAAATTTGTTAAATGTAAAGCATCATAAAAAATAAATTCGAGGCAGCCAATTGTATATTAAATATTAGTATTCAAAAGAAATGCTAAATATCACTTGCATATGACACAATTCAGCTATGAGAAGATGTCTTTATGGTAAAAAATAACACAAAAGATAGTTGAAGCTTCTGTCACCCCCCCCAAAAAAAACCCCAAAAAATAATAATAAGTTAATAAGTCAAGCTTAAGCATAGGCAGTTTCAGTTTGCACACGTCCAATATCAATCCTGCACCAAGAGAGGATTATATATTTGCCAGCATCACAAATAGTGCAGTCGATATATGTAAGCTCAAGGATTAGACTATTTAATTAATTGGCAGTTGACTAAGATGGAAATAAGAAGGCAAAGAAAATCATTTGCTTAAGCTAAAGGCCTTTACGGTTGCAGACTTGCAGTACATCACCAGGAAAACTAAAAGGGTGATTATTTCACCAATTCAGAGACAATTGGATCATAGTTCATGTGCTCTGGAAATTCAATCTCTTGTGTACTTAAAACAGAGGGTATCAACTGAAAAACGTAAGCTATTTTATTCATTGCTGAATATACACAAACGCTACTGAATCAGATTATCAGTAATCAGATACTCAGTCCAGGCAAGATCACACTTGATATTAGCATCGAACAACCTTGACAGCAGAAGACAAGACATTCACCTGGACAGCAGTTTCATACTAGTCGAAAGGAGTCAGAAGACTTATGAACACCTCTATGCCATCTGATACATTTAATCTCAGACTTAAAGTGCGACTTGGACCTTTATGACCTTTCCGCATGTGCAATATACCAACCTGTAAATTGAAAATTTTCAAATGATAAAGACGGTGGTAAAAGGGAACACAGGAATTTCATGAATTTCATAGTTCAGTTCACAGGAAAAAGAAGCAGGAAATAGGAAAAAGAATCCGCATTACAAAGGGGCCTTGCTGAAAGACTAACAGACTAGTTCCAGAAAAGCTAGATCTATGGGTGCTAATATAAGAGATGACTGTGAGATCTCACCAAGTCATTGAAATGGTATAAAAAGCTTGTAGACAAGCGTATTCCTTTGAGTTCACAGAAAAAAGTGCTCTAGGGAAAAAATACAGTATGAAGTTTCAAAAGGAATATACCCCTAAATCACAAAGTCTAAAGGGTAAAAACAAAGCAATAGGTTCTTTCTGGTATTGAAAGCGTGCATGCAGAAATGAAAAAGAATGATACATCTCAGTTAGAACACCCCACCTAAATTCAAATCTGAGCTGCATTTGCTCCAACATCCTGATTTTGACTTAGTTAAGAGAAATTGGAACAAGCTATTCAGGTTAAGATAATATTGATATTGATAAAATACCAATAAAAGATAAAAATTCAAAAGTACTTTCAACTATCAAGGATGGGGTTGTTTAAAAAAACTCCAGTGGGCTAAGGCGACATGCGACATTGTAACTAAGTCTAGAAAACCTCAAGACTGGTGCACAACCTCTGCGGCTCAATCCATGTGGGGACCATGCACTACCAGTGCCTGTGGGTTTAGCTAGGAAAATTAGTAGAGTAATAGTTATTTAAACATGAGCCAATTCAATTTTATGCTGGTTTATAACAAAAGCAAATTCAAGTTGAGTGCCAAAACTTCATTCTGAGGAAGAATACTGGTACCAAAAACTCTTGGCTGTTTGAACGTGGATAACAGCGCAGAATACTTTCAATAGAAGAAAGAGAGAATATTAAATCTGAAAATGGTGAAGAAATCATTAATGGGGCAGAATTCACATAAAATGCTACAGACTACTGACTTCTATGAAGGATGGTTAGAACTAACGAGGTTTCTAGCAGGTCAGAGAGACAGAGACTATCAAACATTGATTATGTTGAATTAGATAGGCCTCTTATCGAAGAAACTAAGAAGAAGGCTTTTTTCAAATGAAATCTAATAAAACTGCTGGTCTTGATGGACTTACGGTATGTCTATCCAGGAACCGATGGTTCCTCCTTGATCAAGATGATTCTACGCATATGCTCATATTTAAGCTTTCCAACTAATAGCAGTAATAAGAATAGTAAATGTGAGTTATTAAGAAGATCATAAACATGAGATATATTTTTTCTCAACATAACACATTTACTACTATTACTCAAATACCTCAACAGTGGTAGCAATGCACTTTCCATTTACGGATAGATGATATCCCACGTCTAACTCCTAGCTCCTCTGCAACTGATCCATTAGACACCTACAGTTCAATTTGTCATGCACTACTCAATATTATAATGAAAAAGCATAAAGTGTATAAGATAACAAGAAACAGTGCACAGCATATACCTCTTCAACTATTAGACCTGAATCAACATTGCACTTACGAAAAGATCCTCTCCACATGAATCGGATCTAGAAATTTCATGGGTGAAAACTTCATCCCAAAATGCAGCCGAGGGATACACCTTGCAAAATTATCATTTATCAGATTCCAGAAACTAGGAATAGAAGATTTACTAAGCCCCAGAGTCTCGAAGCCATGTTTTTTTTGGCATGCAAAACCAAATCAAGACAGGCTCATAGAACTACTGTAGTGGTGAGGTAGTACGTAAAAGGACCCCAATTTGTTGACTGGTAGGGAAGAAAACAGGAGGAGAACTAAAAAAAAACGCAAGCACTGTAGATGTACATGCGATTTGTTACATGGCAGGAAAGAAGCAAGAGTAGAAAGCAGGAAAAACAAAGGCAAAACAGTGTGGGTGAATAGTACGAACACTGTTGAGCTACAGGCAAATGTGCACGAAAACAAAAAGTTTTATAACAAAAGCAATTTTCGTGAATGTGTGTCTAAAACAAAGTCCGGCTAGGCGGCGACTACTCGGCGACTTCTGCCGCACCTAATCGCTGGGCGAAGCCCGTCGCCGCTTGCGACTAGGGGCATAATCACGCGATCGCTGGCGCTAGGCGGCGCGGGAGGCTGGCGAGATGAGCAGGAGAGCGGGCGACGGAGATTCCACACCGTCGGGAGGCGGGAGGGGAACAAGAAGCCGCGAGCTCGCCAGCGACCGACAGGAGAAGTTGCTTCGACCGACCGCCCGCCGAGTTGTGCAGCCCTTTGTGCAGCTGGCTGCATGCAGGCGGCCGCCACGGGCTACACACCGTCTTTCCCCAATAAGAGCTGGCTTGAAAGCATCCGCCTCCTCTGTTCTCTTCCACCATCGAGAGAGAGAGGAGAAAGGTGGGCAAAGAGGCAGGAAGAGGGGAAGAGACAGAGATGGGCGAGGCGGAAGTCAAAGAGGAGTTGGCTTGTGGGCTTGGTCGCGAGGAGAGAGATGAAGACACGCTAGGGCTTCTAGGGTGAGGGGCACATGGGCTGCTTGGTGCACGTGGGTCTGGGCCAGGACTACCTTCTTACTCCTCCTTTCTTTTTTCTTTTCCCTTTCCTTTTCTTTATTATTATTTATATACTGCTTCTGAGTTTGCTCAAAAAAAAAATCCATATCTTGCTTTGAGCTGCTGTTTAAAATTTCCTTTTAGTTGGTAAGGCGTCCCTAGCCCATCTTTTTTATACTTACTGTGACTCATATATAGTAGTTATATACATATATATAGTTATATACATAATATATATATATATATAATTTATGGCTATATTGCCAAAACGCCTAGGAAAAGCATACAAGGCGCCTGAGACCGAGTGCTCTCGACTAGGCGCTGAGCAGTGGGTCATGCGCCTGAATTCCACCTAGCGCCTAGCTGAACTTTGGTCTAAAATAGACAAGACAACAGAAATGAGACTTATCAATCTAAGAACTAATATATTAATTAACACAAGTGCACAACAAAATCTATCATGTTTCCTCAAGATATTTGTTCATCACTAAAATCATACAGTTAGAGTAGCAAAACAAGAACTTACTGATATTTCTTCCACATAGCCAAGCACCCTCGATATAATAGAGGAAGGAATAAAAAGCTGATCCTGGAAAGTTAGCCATCCCCAAAACTTCCCACTGAAGTCAATTACTGGCCCTCCAATGCTAGACTAAAATATTTAAACTCAACATTTGAAATATAAACAAGATAATAAATCAATAATAATTTATGAGAAAGTCAGGATAAATATCATTTATACTTTTTTCTAATTGCACCACCAGTGAACATATAGTGAGGACGTTCATGTAGATTTGGGCCATGAAATCCAACAAACTCATAATCAACAGTCAAATTTAGATTTTCATCTCTACCCATCACAAATGTTTCCTGACCATATTTCACATCACTATTGAATTCAGGAATTTTTAGCATGACTCTATACAAACTGTAAACAGAGCCATATTGATGTGCTTGTCATAATGAAGCAATTGTGCAGGCACAGTAGTCTCCATCTTCATCTAACAAATGAGCAACAACCTGAATACAGATACAAAAGATAGACATTACAGTTTTTAAGAAACATGATACAATCACAACAATAATACTAGTATTCATCCAACAAATGAGTAACAACCTAATTGCGGATACAAAAGGCGAGTATTACACTTATTTAGAATATAAACAGGATAAAGTGATAGCGGCATAAGCTGTGTGTCTATATCAAATGGCAATTGTTTCTGAACTCACCTTAGCATTAGGTGAATACTCATCTGTACCTGACCACTGGCTCAGAGTATATTTTGGAGCAGATTATATGTGCTGATGTTAAAACAGTGCCTTCTCTACTCTTCTCATCCCAACCAATAAGAAAAACCAGATGAACGTGCCATCAGTTTACCATCTGTAAATGCAATAATAGATTAGTGAAAAAACAA